TAATTAAAGTAGTGATTGGATAACTAAGTAGCAACAGACCAATTGTATTATCTTATTAAATATTTTTGTCCAAATTATCTATTGATTACAATAGTTCACTTAATTTAATTGATAAATAAAGCCATGATTGTTTTCCTAGAAAATTAGCTAAACAACTTACGTATATTTTGTTGATGTTGTTCATATCTTGTCTCAAATAACTTCATAGATATTTATTTGATTGATAATTCGGTTTTGTCATTATCAATCATAATACAATAGGATAATTTTTTAAAAAAATGACGATTTAGAAAATCTTTTAGTATCAAAACATATCTAAAGTCACCCATCACCACTAACATGTTTAAGGTTGAAACCTCTCGTCGCACCTTTAGATCTAGTTATACACCTCCTTTATGCAATTTTACACCATAAACTAGTAATTTGTGGTCAAACTCGGGTGCTAATGTGCATGTATGTTTTGATCACTATTGGTTTACTACCTTACATGAATCATGTGGAGGTGATGTCACTTTATTAGATGACGCGCTAGCACAAATAAAAGGAAAATGACAAGTAGACATTAAGATGACATCTGGCAAAACCCTTACCCTTTATGATGTTTTGTTTGTGTTAACAGCTAGAAGTAATCTTGTTTGTGGATTTTGGTTGGTTAGCTTAGGTTTTAAATTTGTCTTGGAGTCAAATAAAGTTGTAATCACCAAAAACAATGTCTTCATTAGAAAATATCATTCTTACATAAAGCGACCTATGCGGATGCCTAGGCGTCTGCTTAGCGTAAGCGGACCTCCGGCTGCCTAGTTTTGGACTGAACGGTCAAGCTCGGCGCCGCCTAGCTTCTTAAGCTAAAAAATAAATAAAATCCACTCAATCTCCAACCCAACCCGACACCAATTAAGGTCCAACATGCAAAAAGGGGGTTTTAAAGAAAAACTCGACTCCAAGTTTTCAAACCCAACCCGGTAGCTTATTTACTCGACTCCAAATTTAAAAACCCTCCCTATCTTGGTTGCTGGCCTTCTTCTCTCTCTAGACAAACACTGCTACCTTTCTCTCTTTGCCCCCACTATCTTCGTCACCTCCTCTCTGGCCAAACAATGTTGCCTCCTCTTCCTCGCCGTCACCTCCTCTCTCCGAACACGACCTCGGCCTCCTCTTATCTTCAACTCATCTTCATCGCCACCTCCTCCTCTCTCCAAACACCACCTCAGCCTCCTCTTATCTTCAACTCATCTACATCAAGGTAAGTTTTTCTATTTTTTCATTGTTTTAATTTTTTCACTGTTTGTTTTGTTTTTGGTTAATTTTCCACTATTTTACTGTTTTAGGTGATTTAGTTATTTTTAATTTGTGTTAGTTAGCCTTGTTTAATTATAGTTCAAATTTATTTTAATTTTAGAATATTTCAGTTTAATCATGTTCAATTTTCTAAAAATGCAATTCATGTTTTTGTTAATCATTATTATTTAATTTAAAAATAGTGCTAGGCCCTGGCTCGAATGGCTAGTCTGCCTAGCGCGTTCTGTAACATTCAAAAATATTTTATACATTGTTGTTTATTTAAGTTAAATATTCTTCCTAAATCACCTAGTGATATATCTTCATCTTCTTCTATTACCTCTTCCGTTATATCGAACGTTGAATCTTGTGATACATAGCACAATAGATTAGATCATGTAGATCTAGATACAGTTAAGAAAATGAGTAACATGGGTTTAATTCCTAAATTTAATATGGATACAACTAATAATTGTGAAATATGTGTACAAGCTAAACTAGAAAACCTTACAAATCAGTAGAATATAGAGATAATGATGTTTTAGAATTAATTCTAAGTGATGTATGCGATTCTAACGTGACTCCAACTAGAAGTGGTAGAAGATATTTTGTGGCATTTATTGAAGACCACTCTAGATATCGTTATATTTATCTTCTTAAAACTAAAGATGAAGTCTTAGATATATTTAAAGTTTATAAAACTGATGTTGAAAACAAACCATATAAACATATTAAGTAATAAGATCTGATCAAGGAGGATAGTACACTTCTAATGAAATAACTCAATTTTGTGAAGAACATTGAATCATACATGAAGTGAATGCTCCTTACCTCAACATAATGGGGTCGATGAAAGGAAAAATAGAACCATAATGGATATGATTGATGCTTTACTAATTGATTCAAGAGCACCTAATAACCTTTAGGGATAACTGCATGTTATATACTTTATCTCGTATGAAATCAGATAAAACTTCATATGAATTATGGAAAAAGAGATACTTTAGGCTAAAGAAACTCCACGTTCCTTAACTTGTGGAGCAGCCCTACAAACCTTTCATTAATATTTGGTTTGTTATGTAGTTATCCAACAATGACCCCCAAACCAAATATTAAATAAAATAAAGTAAGTAAAAGAACAAAAAAATAACAAAATAGTATATATACAAAGGCATGAATTCTATGCATCAGTGCAAGTGGCCTTCTGTCTTGAACCTAACCTAGTAACATTTATGCATCCTGAGGAAACCATAGTGAACCTAAGGCCTTCAACTAGGCTCGTTTATCACGAATTAACAAAGTACTTTATTAGGTTGCAGGGTTGGCGTGTTAATTTGGTCATGCGCTCAGCATTGACTCATGAGAATGCAACGAATAGCCCTAACTTCCATAATCGCGGGCACATGATGAGTCATATAACTCTTACTGGTTTCAAGACCTAGAGCGGGATTCCTTCAGACTCTTACATCCCTAGAGGATCCAACTACGTGAGGATTATCGTGACATGTATTTTCAAACATTTGGACAAAACACATCCTTTGGACAATCTACAATATTAAGAAAAACAATAACATTTAATTTCAAACAATTCAACTTTCTCTAGGTATAACTAGCCAAATTGGCAACTATTCGGCCCTTGGAGATGCAAATCAAACACAAATTTCATATCTTAAACAATTTCAGGACGTCGAGAGCGAATATAATCGAAGATTTTGAAATCCCATGAAGTTTCTAGGGTGTGAAAGAATAAACAATAGAACAAGTAGAGAGGATAAAAATGTATAGATTGAGCGTTGTGCCAAGAGAGGTCTCTGTAGACATTGATGGAGAAGGTGCCGCCGAGATACACAGGGGGGCATCGAGGTCGATGGTGAACACTGTGAAGGTCCACTCTGCCGTTTGACTCATCATTGTCGTCTTCCTCCTCTTGCTACTGCTATGACTATATTCGTCCTAATTTTCTGTGCCACTAAAGTCTCTGTGTTTGTTAGACTATCCCTTTAAGTTCAAGCCCAACCCAAGCTTTATTATAGCAACTCCCCAGTGGGCCTCGCCAGATAAGATGTAAAATATTTGGACTTAATTTTGAATCACGGGAGCCTAATGGGATTTGGTGGACTCGAACGTTGGATCTGTGTTCAAACCTGAAAACAGATGCAGTCTCAATTAATGTTGTAATTTGATATCAATGAAAATATAACATATGCCATACCAATAGTAGGGTGTATAGCACAAGAAAATTTATTTTTTTATCACCTTCTCGTTTAGATGTGATATGTTCCGCATGGCTTATTCCTACTGGCTAGTGCATGTCGCATTGGCACCCCAGTGAGCACCTAAGAATTTCTTAGTGAGAAGGCATATGCTTGAAAGCATTGCATGTAATACTACGTCATAGACTCGTATTGACACTGTAACTTAATGTTAGTCATTTATATGGCACAGTTCTTTGAACTTTCTTATCCCACTGGATGCTTTGAAAGCTTTCACTTCAAAGTAACATTATCACTTCTAATGTGTCACGCTCTAGAAGCTCGACAAAAAAGATCAAGATACCCCTCAATCCCAAATTATCCTTTGATCCTTTTTAATAATGATTTTTTCCCAAACACTTCCTTCACAT